TGAAACACATATATCTGTGAAATCTGTGAAACACATATCTGTGAAACACATATCTGTGAAACACATATATCTGTGAAACACATATATCTGTGAAACACATATATCTGTAAAACATGTATATCTGTGAAACACATATATCTGTGAAATCTGTGAAACACATATATCTGTGAAATCTGTGAAACACATATATCTGTGAAACACATATCTGTGATATCTGTGAAATCTGAATGTAATTATAGTTTACATATAACCTCATGATTTTAATATAAACCTGCATACTACCTGGTAATTACCAAATTAGTCAAATTATCAACTGATTTTCATACATAGCTATTGTGCCACATTGTATACAAGCAGACCTTTTAGCAATTGCAATTTTGATGATATAAATGTGGATAAAAATAGAGACAATCTAATGATCTGATGTTGAGTACTTACATTCTATAATTTAAAACTCTGTATAATTTAGTTGCTTATTAGAGTTTATTCTGTGCTTGAATTTGATTACATTTGATCTTCTATTTAAATTGAAATCAGTAAACAAATTAACCACATTTTTTTAGTTCCTGTTCGGACACAGTCCGAAAACGGGGACATATAGCTTTACCTCAGAGCGTCCGGACCTGTATCTTAAAAAATGCCTTGACCAATCACAATCAAACTTCACACATACATCATACATGATATTATACATATGCACATCAATTTGTTTTACGATCTGATTCAAGATGGTCGAATGGCAGCCATTTTTGTGCTAAAAATCATCAAAATCAAGCATTTTTCGGCTGTTTACAGATGGATTTTGTTCAAAATTGGTATATACATTAGACATTAAAGGACCTTGATGCACATCATTTTGTTTTTCAGATAACATTCAAAATGGCCGACTGGCAGCCATTTTGTTTTAATGAATGTGGTTCTAGTGCCATATCTCTGACTTGCTTTGACTGATTATGTTAAAATTTTAAATATTCATTATACATCATATCATAGATAGACAGATTTATTGGTTAGACTATCATATTCAAAATGGCCAAATGGTGGCTATTTTTGTGCTAAAAAAATCCTCAAATATCAAGCATTTCTTGCATTAAGGATGAATTTTGTTCAAACTTACATTAGACATTACAGGTTCCTGATGCACGTCATTTTATTTTTCAGATTGGATTCAAAATGGCTGACTGGCGGCCATCTTGCTTTAAAGAATGGGCTTCTAGACCCATATCTCCGACTTGTTTTGACTGATTATGTTCAAATTTTAAATATTCATTATACATCATGTTTAGATAGACAGATATATTGGTTTGACAATCCTATTCAAAATGGCTGAATGGTGGTCATTTTTGTGCTAACAAATCATCAAATATCAAGCATTTCTGGCATTTATGGATGGTTTTCGTTCAAACTTGGTACATGCATTAGAAATTACAGGTTCCTGATGCACATCATTTTATTTTTCAGATTGGATTCAAAATGGCTGACTGGTGGCCATTATTTTTTAATGATTGGGCTTCTAGGGCCATATCTCTTAAATGCTTTGACTTATTATATTCAAATTTTATATATTCGTTATACATTATGTTATATATATATATATATATATATATATATATATATATATATTTATATTCCAGACATGGTTTTATTCCAGCTATACTACTATAAACAAAAATATATATCTTAAATTTGATAACTAACTCGTGACTGTGCCATGCATTGCTTGTTTTTCAAACCATGATTGTAATTTGTTATTGGTTAGGCAGATTCACTGTAGCTTGTAACATTCCTGCAATCAAACATGGTACTACTAGTATTTGACCTGTTTTTCATGTGTAAGTCTACTATATGTTAGACAGGACACGTACACATAACATTATAAACTAATTTTTGATTCATGATTTTTACTTATTTACTAGTCATATTCACTGTTTTGGGCTTTGTGAAACTTGTTGATTTCATTTTATAAAATTTTAATTTAAAGGTGTGTATGAGACTGATAATATATACCGGTAGTTTGAAATAATATTAGTTTATTGATACAAACTATGTTTTCTATTTTCAGACCCAAAAAGAGTTGCTGGAAACAGAAAGGGAGTTTTTACAAGACAAAGGCAACCCAAAATGGCGGCTTATCAGCTGCGTGAGCGCTATCAGTCTGTCATCAATGAAACAACATATTTCCAGCAACATCCATGAGTTTACAATTGAATGCTTATGTACACCATTCAAAACCAAACTGAATGTTTATATACACCATTCAAAACCAAATTGAATGCTTATGAACACCATTTGAAACCAAACTGAATGCTTATGTACACCATTCAAAACCAAATTAAATGCTTATGTACACCATTCAAAACCAAACTGAATGTTTATATACACCATTCAAAACCAAATTGAATGCTTATGAACACCGTTCGAAACCAAACTGAATGCTTATGTACACCATTCAAAACCAAATTGAATGCTTATGTACACCATTCAAAACCAAACTGAATGTTTATATACACCATTCAAAATCAAATTGAATGCTTATGTACACATTTCAAAACCAAACTGAATGCTTATGTACACCATTCAAAACCAAATTGAATGCTTATGTACACCATTCAAAATCAAACTGAATGCTTATGTACACCATTCAAAACCAAATTTAATGCTTATGATGTACACCATTCAAAACCAAGTTAATGATTGAAACACCTGCTTGTAAGGGTTGTGGTAATTATGATGAAAAAATAATGTATGGAAAACGTTTGACTAATGTATGATATAGTGATCTGATAATTGGGGTTAAAATTATGAGAGCTTTTGTGGTTGACATTCAATATTCGTGTCCCAACTACATCACATTGAAATGGACCAAAGCAGGTACAGGTCATTGTTTTAGACCTCATTTGCATATAAACCTGTGAGAATTACACATGATTTGCATGCCAAGGCACATAATATTTAGTATTACATCATGCAATGACAGCCTACAAATATTTGTTCAAGTTCATAATAATGAGGTTATAGAATAATAAATCTTATATTTGTGTTACATTTGAATAAACAAAAACATGCAAGTGAAATTTTCTTTTTTTAAAACATATTTTGTTTCATTTTTATCAATTTTGATTTTATGAAGTTTTGCAAATTGCAGAACATTATTTGTTAGCAACCATTTTGGTTTGCAATTTGATTGTTTGAATTTCATTTTCTAACATTTTGAATTTTGATTATCACAAATATTTATCTTTGTTCAAATTACAGAGGCCTGAATTTATTAAAATTTTCTGCAATTCACACATTTATGCTATTTAATTGTTTTTTAAGGACTTTTGTATACTAGTAAATAAACAATTTGTTTTGCATGTCTTTACATGGAAGCAATTTCAAATGATGCAGTTGTAACCCTTATGTAGATTTCAGGTTATGATTCATCTGCAGTTATTAAGATAACAATAATCTTCTTTTATTGGTGTACATATAATAACAGTTTAATATTACATCCATTCTATGTCTGTTTCATTCATTCTAACATCATTGCATAAATTTATGACATAACACTATATTTTTATGCATGTTTTTAATCAGTAATTGTCTGAACTAGAATGCTGTCAGTTAGGTCTGCAATTACAATGAAATCACACAGAAAAAATCTTGAGTTATTCCTGTTTGAAAATTGTATATATTTATCCTAAACTTACATAAAAATATGCATACAAGCTACATTTCAATGTCTTTGATTGTATGGATGTAGTTGGGTAGACACAAATTACTATGGTAACCATTTATATAAACTTTATATTGACAAAACTGTAATCATAATTTATAAATACACTTCAATGATTTTTTTTCTGTACTTTATTTGTGATTAAGGCTGTTAAAGCCCAATTCAAATTTAACATTTACCGAGCACGAGTGCAATGTATTGTGGGAGAGAACCTCACTGAGGTAATGTAGGGGGTTCTGAAGAATTTCATTCCTGGTTACACATGGTTTCAAACACTCGTCCTCCTTTTTTGTAGCTCATCATGTAGACAGGCAAAATCTTCTCTGAAACAAATATTTTTAGCTCCACTGTCGACGAAGTCAAGCAAAGCTTATAGTATTACTGATTGTCCGTCGCTGTCACTGTCGTCGTCAACTTTGCCATTTTCGACTTTTTCGTGAAAACCGCTAGCCCGAATACTTGGTATGTAGGTACCTTGGGTGGACCTCTCTCAGATTTGTCCATTTTGTGATTATATTTTTAATTCTCTAATTTTGATGAATATTTTTGTCATTTTTGGTAAAAAGTGACATTTTCGACTTTTTGTTAAAAACCGCAAGTCCAATTGCTTTAATATTACATATCTAGGTACTACATGTGGACATCTCTCAGATTTGTTCATTTCGAGATGATTTTGTTCTTTAATTATCTAATTTTAAATAATATTTTTGATAAAAAGTTATATTTTCAAATTTTTGTTGAAAACAGCAAGTCTGATTGCTGTAATACTTTACATGTTGTTCATTTTCTAATGATATCTTCAGTTCTTTAATTGAAATGTGCATTAATAACAGCAAAACTATCTCAGTCGAGAGGCTGCTAGTTATTTTTCCACTCGTAAATATGACTGCAAAATCATATCTGATTTCGCAGTCAGAAAAAATAACATACTGTTAGAAAATAATACAAAACAAAGTCTGAAATGGGGACTATAGTTTAGTGTGTGTGTGTTTGTGTCATTGCGTGTGTATCTTGCGCATACCCAATCTTCTTCCAATAGGTTTCATGCAATAGTATCTCTGCCACAGGTAGCATTCGATTTTGTGGTCAATCACCTCACTACGCACGGCCATTTTTAGAAGTTGTTTTACCTAAAGATATTCAACAAATGAGAAAATAAATTGTGACAACTAAAATATCGCTATCTGACTTCCGTAGCCACAAAAATTCAATTTTATTGGGAACTACGTGATGTGAGGTAATGTTACTGTGATACACTGAAACTGTGGAAAACAACATATTGCTTGTGTATATATCCCTGAAATGTTAAGTGTACTAAAATTCTCATTGGATGCTTGTTGTGCACCACCATGCATGTACTATATTTTTAGTCCCTTCGGACGAAGTCCGAAAACAGGGTTTGGTCCGTCCGTATGTATTTATGTATGTACGTATGTACATACGTCCAGAGCTATATCTCGGACAACCATCTCAGAGATGACTGAGTCGATTTAGATCAAACTTAGTATGATGATCATACATATTTGGTTATAAGTGCACGTCATACTGGCGGCAATTTTGATTTTCATGGTACCCATGCTACTTTCTCTTGAATGCAATGAACGTTTGTTTCTCTTTAAATTTTGTACAAAGATAGTATAAAAAGGGATACATTTGTACCAACATTATTTTTGTGATTCAATTCAATATGGCTGGCTAACGCCAATTTTTATGTAAAAGCACTATAAATCGTCATTTTTACATGTCCATTTCTCAGAGATGACTAGGCCAATTTGGATCAAAGTTAGTATGATGATCATACATATTGGGTTATAGTTGCATGTCATATTTTTTCTGTGATTCAAACTAATATGGCTGACTGGTGGCTATTTTGTTTTTCATGATACCCATGCCCACTTTCCCATGAATGCAATGAACATTTCTGATTACATTTTGTACAAAGACAGTATACCAATAGATACATCAACATTATTCAATATGACTGCCAATGTCCAATTCTTGTGTAAAAGCACTAAGTCATAATTTTTTACAAATCCATCTCCTATTAATGGTTTCAATCTAATCTCAATGACTTCATCAGCATCAAATTGATGTCAGATCACAAAACGGGGACTGTGTCATTAACAATGACTTGTTTTTGAAGTTTAGTTCATACCATATTTTTTGAATTCATGAACCTAATTTTTTTATTTCACAAAAATTTTAATTAATTTTAATGGGTGGAGAAGCCTACTAATTGGGATGGTTTGTGACCTTTTCACAGGGATATTTTGACCATGACTTATTTTCCTGTGACATTTTATCAATGTGCGAACATCGTTAATAATCAATTCACAATTCCATCATATAGTAAACTCACAGAACTCACTTGAATAAAATTCC